TTAAATATAAGCATTAATTTTTCTTCCTTGGAAATAAGTATCTGTGGGATATCTGCAGCATAAAACAATAATCCTGTATTATTGACACAAAAGCTTCCTTGACATAGTAACTCCCTTCACAATGATTTCAGCTAATTTACAAGGAAATCACTAGATGTAGGGGTGCTTGCCACTTTACTTTGTATGTTTAGGTTATGCAAATTAACTCTGGATTTAAAATGAATAAACCAAATTTACTTACTAAGAATGACTTATTCTGGAACCCTCAAGTTATTTTATATTTCTACAATGTTACTGCCTTAGCTTGAAGGTTACAGGAGTATATCCTGTTAAATCTGACCTTTGATCTAGAAAATGAGTATCTTTTTCATGTCAGCGATAAGACTTTTATAATAATCAGTACTGATTGCAAATTGCAGTGAAGCAATACTCTTACTTTCTTTAACAATGTTGGTCCTTGATCTCTCACTCTACATAAAAAGTAGATTTGTCTACTACAAAGTAGACATATTTAAAATATATCTACTATAAGGTAGATATATTTAATAACTTTTTTCATATTATGTCACTAAATATTTTACTCTTAATTACAAAACTAATGAGCTTTCTACACTATGCTTTTTGCTAGACCCATCACTTACATTATCATTTTTCCACTAACTTTATTGCTAGACTATAACATAACATTTCTACCCTAGCTGGGACTTACTATAAACTTGCAGCTACATCATTTCACCACTAGATGGGCTTGTGCACACGTAACGTGAAATGTGGAATGCAGAAGATAAAGACACAGTGTCTTTATCACAGTGTGAAGTTAAGAACAGATTTTGATGGGGTTTGGCAATATTGCAGAGACAAAGTTGCCACACAGCAAAAGCTCAGACTGCCTGTTAATTGTCAATAAAATGATGTGGTCTCAATTATTGATTATTTCATAATGCAGAGGAGATAGGTTAGCTAGTATAACAAATAAAAACAATAAACAATCAGGTGCTAGTATGTTACATGCAAATTGTTTAATATTTGACTTTGTGCAAGATGCTTAAACTCTTGGGACTCAGTTTCTATTAAAAACTGGAAGAACTAGACTAATGATAATACCTATGGGATTGGTGGTTTAGGATGACATTCGTTCTCCCGTAATCTTTAATAGGAACCTTTAGTAATCCTAGAATACTAGTTTAAAATGTATACTTGTTAGGAAAATGCACTTTAATGCACATCTGGTATCCGTACCTAACTTCTTCCCCACTGAGGACAACTTAAAATGTTCTGGTGTTGCCACTGCCACTGCTCCAGCCTAAAACGAACTCCAAGATTCTCTTTTTTTTTTTGGAGACAGAGTCTCACTGTCTCCCTTGCTAGAGTGTAGTGGCATCATCATAGATCACTGCAACCTCAAACTTCTGGGTTCAAGCAATCCTGTCTCAGCCATGCGAGTAGCTGGGACTATAGGCACTCACTACCACACCCAGTTAATTTTTTCTATTTTCAGTAGAAATGGGATCTCACTCTTGTTCAAGCTGGTCTGGAACTCTTGACCTCAAGCAATACTTCTGCCTTAGCTTCCCAGAGTGCTAAGATTACAGGTGTGAGCCACTGGGCCCCATCAAACTCCAAGATTTTTTAAAGTTCTGGGTTCTATTTGTATGCAGTACTTTTGTATGAATAGGTAATATACTTAGGTGCATTAACTCCTGAAAACTATGATTAAAGCAGATAATGACAATGGGAAATATTGACTATGTATACACTCATATTTGTCTGCTTAAAAATCACTGACAAAAACCTAATGAACAGGGAAAAGTGATAAGAAGTGAATTGAAGATGTTGATTAGGTGTGGCAAAAAAAGCAGGATAATGAATTATACAGAAATAGGGAATGCCTATTTAGAGACTCAAAGGAATCTGAACTTACCGCTTTTGCGTCTTGTTCTTTGCGTCTTGTTCTTTAACACTGTAACATATACTCAGTAATAACTAAAACAAAGCCCTCCATATAATTTAGAAGTATACTGGACCAAATATGCAAAGAAAATGATGACTTACTAATAAAGAACTCTGTATATGTGACACAGCAGTATATCTTTTAACTCAGCAAAGATTACTAATGCATTGCCTGTCAAAGTCCATCAAGTATCTGTCTGAAAGTATACCTTACAAAGTTCTCTATTTTGTATTTCCTAAAGGTCTTGTGCTTAGTAAAAGTGAAAGTTTCTAAGATTTAATCTAATATAGACTAGTAAATATGAATAAAATTTAAATATAAAAGGATTTTATTTCTAATCTTAATCTCTTCTAATGAATTATTGATCCAAATTGCTGATTTCATTAAATATTTCATTCATGTTTACTAAATATCAATAATGTTATTTTTTCCTCCCCTGAAGAGTTTACATTTCTAGAGAAACACAACTGATAGCCACAGTAAATATGGTCTTCTCAATTTTTTTACCCTACTTGAACTAGTTATTCTGTTTAAAAAGAAAAAAATAAGCCCAGGTACTTAAGTCTGCAAAGACAGTAAAAGACTACTATATTAACAAACCAACTAGACATGACTTTCTTTTTCTCTCTTACAAAACAGTATGTACATTATGATCCCAATTTCAATTTTTAAAATATGCATAAAGAATGGAAAGATACACATTAAAATGTTGGCAGTCATTTCCACTGATTATTGATTATATCCATTATTTTTCTTTTCTTTTTTTTTTTTTTAGAATTTTCAACAAAGAACCTGAATTACTTCTATATTATTAGACATCATTGCTTATGTTAGGTGATAAAAGAATACATAACCTGTTACAAAGATATTTTTGTAAAAGTACAATGCTGTATATTAATGAAATATATCAATCTGATTTCCAAGAAAATAGTCTGAAGACTACAACTTTCTCAAAATGTAAAGTTGTATCCTGTACAAGGACTCACTCTACTGGTGACAAAGAGAATATACTTATTCTGATATTTCTGAAGTAACTGCATGGTTTCCACAAACACTAGAGGGCAGGATTTTCGCTATAAAACTCAATTTCATTTACATTAGTGTGTTTGTATATATACAAACATACATTTAAATATACATACAAATATATATTTGTGTGTATACACATACATTCATCTGCATATTTTAAAACTATGTTTAGGGCTGTATTAAAAAGTACATAATCTATGTCTCTAACATGACACCATCTCATGTTAAAACTGAATGACTAATAAACACATTGAAAATTGGGGCCCTGCATTACTGGTTTAATAAAAAATACAAAGATAATTTTTTAAAAGTTGGTTAAATGTCCTCAGAATTTTAGATCTTTAAAAGGACACTGAAATAATTTTCTCTAACCCCCAAACCCTTTCATATCTATGAAGCTTGTGAATTATGTTGGAGGTGGAAGAGAAACTGAGGGAAAATGACATTCCAGGAAGAAAGAACAGCAAGAATAAAGTCATGACATCTCAATATTGTATAATTTATTTAGGGGATGCCAAAGTAATTTGGTATGTGACTACAGAATAGCGTGACTTGCAGAAATAGCTACATTGGAAAACAAGGGTAGGGTCGACTAGGTAAGAATTGTTCTGCTATACTTTGGAGTTGGACTTTATTCTGAAGGTAATAGGAAAGCCACACAAGACTTTTTTTTTTTTTTTTTGAGACAGTCTCACTTTGTTGCCCAGGCTAGAGTGAGTGCTGTGGCGTCAGCCTAGCTCACAGCAACCTCAAACTCCTGGGCTCAAGCGATCCTTCTGCCTCAGCCTCCCGAGTAGCTGGGACTACAGGCAAGTGCCACCATGCCCGGCTAATTTTTTCTATATATATGTTAGTTGTCCAATTAATCTCCTTCTATTTTTAGTAGAGATGGGGTCTTGCTCTTGCTCAGGCTGGTTTACCAACTCCTGACCTTGAGCGATCCGCCCGCCTTGGCCTCCCAGAGTGCTAGGATTACAGGCGTAAGCCACTGTGCCCGGCCAGCCACAGAAGACTTTCAAAGAGAAAGCTGTCACTAGATGTGCTTTTAGAAAGATAGCAGTATAGTTGTCCCCGGTTATCCACTGGATTGGTTCCAGGATCCCCCTTAGGTACCAAAATCTGTGGATGCTCAAAGTCCCTTATATAAAATGGCATAGTATTTGTCTATAAACTACACATATTCTCCCATATACTTTAAATTATCTTTAGATTCCTTATAACACCCAATACAGTGTAAATGCTATGTAAATAGTTGTTACACTATTTATTATTTTATTTGTATTACTTTTTATGGTTGTATTGTTAGCTTTTATTAATTTTTCCCAAATATTTTTGATCTGTGGTTGGTTGAGTCCATGGAAATGGAACCCAAAGATACAGAGGACTGACTTTATACAGGGTGAATTAGAAGAGAGAGAGATTGGAAGACTGAAAACTAAAGAGTCAAGTACACTGGCTGATGCCTTATGTATTAACAGTACAAAAACACAGTTGTGCAAAGAGAAAGCCTTCCAGTGACATTTAAAAAGGCAGAAAAGACTGGACTTGGTGAAGGAATAGATACAATAAATAAGGGTTTCAAGCCCTGGTAAGTGAAGTTGGTGAATACTGATATTTTTGAGACAAAGACTAGAGTTTTAATCACTCTAAGTGCAAAGTGCTTTCTGAAATCCAGGTAGCAAGATGTATTAAATAGGTAAAACTGTAGCGTTGGAATTCAGTGGAGATATAAGTAAAAGAAAAAAATGACATTAAATTTTTCTGTGACTTATGAAATGTCTCATTACATTAGAATCATATCCCTTGTTAAAATAATTGATCATTTAAAAAAAACATTGTATTATCTAAATATGTAATTTAAAATATTTTTCTCCATATATAAACCTTGTGTCATTTGTGTTTTATAAAGACTCGAGCCTCATCATATCTCACAAATAAGCAGCCTCCTATTTGTATGTATTTTAGTATTTTCAGCAGAGTTGAAATAGGTTAAAAAGGCAATGAGAAACAGAATACTTACTTGAACCTGGCAGGTGAAAGAGGAGTAGGGGGAAACATTCCTGGTTCAAAAGAATCAAAATAAGTCACTGTCCAAGAAAAGCTGCAACAGGAGAATCCAGCAGTTAGGGATATTATAAGCAGAGTCCAGAATCCTTAATGGGAAAAGAGAAGGGAAAAGCTTAAATTATTAACACCAAAACAATTTAGAATAGACCGGTATTCTCATATTCAGATCATGTATTTTTCTGATCTTCTCAACTATATGGAACTGGGATAAGAGATTTGAGCTTAGTATAAGCTAACCCATGTAGAAGTATAAATTACTAAAGTACAACTAGAAGTCATATCATTGAATATTTTAATTAAATTATAATTTAATATGTGGAAAGGAAAGAAAATTCAACTTAAGAATATAGCATCTTAAGTTTTATAAAATTCAACTAGAAAAAATGGTTAACACATTTAACTCTTAAAGATTTTCTGACATTTTTCAATCAATTTTGGAGAGCAATTTGGCAGTACCTGTTAAAATAATACATGTACATATCTGTTACTCCAGTAATTCTACTTCCAGATATTTGTCCTAAAGATATACAAACCTGTATAAAATGATGTATACACAAGATTATTCTCTGTAGCTTTGTTTATAATAAAGATTAGAAACCTAAATGATCAGCAATAGAAGTATAAGGTTATTAAGCACAATCATAAAATGTAATACTATGCAACTATAAAAAATAAGGAAGCCCTTTATGGACTGATACATTATAAAAAGAACTCCAAAATATACTGGTGAGCCAAAAAAAATCAATGCTCAGAACAGCAATAAATACTTGTATAAAGGAGGAGGAAATTATGTATTATGTATGTGCATATGTTATACATATGAAAAAATGAATATATGTTTTACTTACATATTAAAAAAATTTCCACAAGGATATTTTAAGAATTTAGCATTGGCCCTCTGTAGGGAGAGGAAATGAGTGGTTGGGAGACAGGGGTGAGAAGAAGCCCTTTCAGTTCACTCTTTTATACTTTTTGAATTTTGACCCATAGGACTGTTCTACTATTCAAAATATTAAAGTAAACTTCTAAAAAAGTTTCCAGTCAGGTAATCCTTTTTGAATAGGGGAGGAGCAGGGAAGTTGTATCAGAATCTTTGTGGAAGCATTTTCAAACTGCCCCATAAGACAGGTTTCTGAAAAATATGTTTCATGCCTCAGAAATACAGGAAGGGAAGGTTGAGAACATTAGAAGATGACTTATGAATTATCAAGTTTCCTGGCTACACAAAACGATCCACCAAATAAGCGTTTATTTTAACAAGAAGCAGGTAAGAAATAAATGCAGTGGCCAGTGTGTAAACCATGTGAAGTCCTGTAACAGACTGATAAAATTGCTAAAATATGAAGTCAGAGCAATTAAGGGTTAACAAAAAGTGTGGTAAAGTATTTCTGAAAGATTAACCTATGTTTTTTCTCTGATAGTTCCCTTTCCCTTCCTTTCTTTTAAAGAGATAATGGGCTCTGTGCTCACTGCCCCAGAAGAGGGGTGTGGCAAAGCAGAAAGGAGAAATAGCTGCAGTGTTTTTTTTATTTTTATGTTGCAAAAAAATTACAAGAACACAATGTATTCTGCCTGAATAGAGAGCAAAGACAATGAAATGATTGTGGTACAGATAAAATGTTTGCATGAGGCTGAGGCAAGAGGACTGCTTGAGGCCAAGAGTTCCAAACCAGCCTGAGCAACACAGTGAGACCCCTATCTCTAAAAAAAAGTTTATATGGACTCTACTGTAGTTTAGAATAAAACATTTTTTTTTAATAGCTGGGTATGGTGACAGTCATCTGTAGCCCAGCTACTTGGGAGGCTGAGGTGGGAAGATAGCTTGAGGTGGGCAATATAGCAAGACTAGGTCTCTTAAAAAAAAAAAAAAAAAAAGGTCTGTGTGGAACAGGGAGGAGGGTGAAGGGTTTATCTGCTGAAAAAGATTTCTCTGGTTTGAATAAAGCATGTTGTATGTGTGTGCATGGGGAGACGGACACTGCTGGGGCTTCCTGGCATAGCCATCTCTAAGAGGCCATGGAAAACCACATGCGAAGGATAGCTGTAGAGTGTCTTAGCAGATGGGCCCAGGCCCAAGCCTGCAGATGATTCTGCCCTAAGTAGGGCATAGAAACAGCAGATGGTCATGTGGCTGGAAGTTGCTACATCTGAATGGCCATCCTAACCCGAATAAAAGATGTTTCAACACTCTATTAAGCAAACGTCTTGAGAATCAGCCTGGCACAGCCTCAGCCTCTAGAACCTTAACCTAACCTGGGACTGGGTGGACAGAACCTGAGTAGAGACTAAGGTACAACCTTCCTCTCAACCCAGTAAGATAAGGGGTCAAAACAGAAATTATGAGATTTAGAGTACAACTATAATTTATGTATTGCTATATTGCCAAGTAGCTGTTATTTGCTATTATTTAGATGAATATCTGTAAAGAGGGGAGAAAATAATTGACAAGCTAACTCTAAGTTTAAAATATGTTAAGTTTCCAGAACAAAGATGGTAATCAACTCAAGAAATATCAAGTATTTGAGTGTGGGGACTACTATGGATGATGAAACTTCCAGATACCTAAAAAAGTGAAGAAAGACAAAATAACATTTAAAAATAACCAAATGTGAGGCTTTCTAAAGTCTATCAAGCTTTTCACTCAGTTTCTTTAATGGCATAGCTGTCAAATTTAATACAAGTATTCCTGAGTTTTTCCAAAATGACCACTATTAATTACACAATCTAAGTGTTTGCCTCACATTGGGCATTTCAATTATTTTGTATTCATTTTAAACTAATCAAAAGCTATATCACAGATAAGCCAGGCAACAATGACAGGGCAAAAACAAGTGCTCTAGAAGTGCTTATGAATCTAAAAATTACTCAATTCATTTATGAATAAGCAGAAAAGACACAGAAGTTGACAACTCCCAACAACTAAATTTGTTCTAAGTCAGTATCTCCAGAATCCTGAAGCTAAAAATTTAGGGTAATTGTTTTATAATGAAAGCATATAAAAATTAAGTTAAATTCTTTCTTTCCCAATTCATCAATTCTACTTTTAAAAACAATCAGCTAAGAGTTCATTGTACATCTTTTCAAGAATTATATAGATATATAATGTAAATACATACATGGAGCTAGTTATGTACAAAAATATAAATTTTTTTACAGTTTATCTTCCACAAATAGGATTCTCATCAGAAAATTTGTTCAATACATTCCTTTTTTCATATAACATTCTATGTTGGAGATCTTTCATATCAGTACACACAGCCACAGTTCTGTTGCACACTTTTATTATTCCAGTTTTTCACTATTACAAACAATGCTACAAAGAACACTCTTGTACTTCAGTGTACAGTTGTACAAAGATACGTTACAAATTTCCAGAGGAAGAACTGCTGTCAAAGAATGTAGGCCTTTAAATAAGTACACACATCCATCCTTCTCTACAGCTCAATTTTCATCACTCAATGAAATGATGGAAATTCATCTTTTCCATCAACTGAAAGTTAGACTCAATGTTTTCATCCAAAGCCAAAACAGGAGTGATGGGATTTTCTATTCCAATCCCTTTGCTAGAATTTTTATATTCACTTTTCTAAGGGTATATTTTGTTTGGGTTTGTTTTTTAAAATAAGTTATTTTAGTTTCAGGGTGTACTTTTCTAAAATATGCTGGCAACTCTCTATACTCATATAAAATCTTTCAGCAAAAGAGACTGAAACATGCTAAATATTTTCATTTTGTTTAACAGTTTCAAGCTTACACAGATGAAGTAACTTTCAGAAGTTTGACCAAGATGTGGAGGCACTAATCTGCACATATTACACATAAACACAAAAGATCAGGAAAAAACAAAACTCCCATGCCTGCATATTAGAAAAAGATTTCTTATTAAAGAACTGTTATGCAATTAATTACACACCCTTTACTAAACTTATCATAAATAATGAACTAAATGTGACTACACACTGAGAATTTCCAAGCCCTGTGTACAGCTTCTGACATTTGAATTTTTAAATAAACTGATAAACCTATATTATGAAATACCATACAGTAATGAAAAAGAATGAGGTAGATCTATGTATATTAATATAGAATGAACTCCAAGATATTTTAATGAGCCTGCAAAATATACATGATTCTACTTGTACTTTTTCTACAACAGTGACAAAACTATGTATTTTGAATGAACATATATATGTAAATGAATAGAAAAAGATGTGAAAACACACACAGGTAGGTAGTGAAAACCTTTGCTTTAATTCCTAGAATTTTTTTCCTATACTTTTTTTCTTTTCCCCATACTTATGTAACTAATGTATTTCATGAAATTAAAAATAAAAATGTAATACAGTCATGTGTGGCTTAATGACACGGACATATTCTCAGAAATGTGTCATTAGGCGATTCTGTGATTGTGTGAACATCATGGAGTGTACTTACACAAACCTAGATAATGTAGCCTACTATATACCTAGGCTATATAGTATAGCCTATTACTCCTAGGATACAAACCTATATGGCATGTTACTGTACTGAATACTGTAGCTAACTGTAACACAATGGTAAATGTTTGTGTATCTGAACATATCTAAACATAGAAAAGGTACAGTAAAAATATGGTATAAAAGATTAAAAAATGGTACACCTGTACACTTATCACAAATAGAGCTTGAAGGATAGGAACTTGCTCTGGGTGAATCAGTAAGTATGAGGGAATGTGAAAGTTGACATTACTAACCATTGTAGACTTTATAAACACTGTACATTTACACTACACTAAATCTGTAAAAACATTTTCGTTCTTCAATAATATACTAATCTTAGTTTACTGTAACTTTACTATATAAACTTAAAATTTTTTAAACTTTTTGACTCTTTTGTAATAACACTTATCTTAAAACACAAGCACATCATATAGCTGTTTTTTCTTTGTACACTTATTCTATAAGCTTTTTTCTATTTTTAACTTTTTTTTTTTACCTTTTCAAAATTTTTTTGTTATAAACTAAGACACAAGCACACACATTAGCCTAAAACTACATAGGGTCAGAATTGTCAATATCACTGTCTTCCACTTCCACATCTTGTACCACTGAAAGTTCTTCAAGGGCAATAACATGCACAGAAATGTCCATTTCCTATGATAACAATGTCTTCTAGAATATCACACAAAGGACCTGCCTGAGGCTGTCTTAGTTAACTTTTTTAATAAGTAGAAGGAATATACCCTAAAATAACAGTAAGAAGCTTAGTAAATATATAACCAGTAACATAGTCATTTATTATCATCATCAAGTATTATATACTATATATAATTGTACGTGCTCTATAGTTCTATACAACTGGCAGTGCAATAGGTTGGTTTACACCAGCATCACTATAAACGGGTAAGTAATGCGTTGCACTATGATGTCACTAGGTGATAGGAATTTTTCAGCTCCATTATAATCTCATGGGACCACTGTCATATATGCAGTCTGCTACTGACCAAAATGTTGTTACATGACACATAACTGTACTTAGGTAATTTTAGAAGTTGTAAAAACTATTAACAGCTAGCTACTAATAAAAGCCTAAATGTTCCATATGCATAATATTAACCAACAATGTTAAGATGTTTTTGAAAGCGAATTTCCTCAACTTTATCAGAGTCTATAGTTTTCTAATTTAAGAGGATGGCAGGTATTTTAAATAATTTGGTATCCTCTCTAAACTAAATCACATTCCATAGATAGAGCTCAAGTCTTCAAATCCCTAAACCAATGTGTCTCTCTTCATGCCAAGGCAAAAGTGCAGGAGCAGAGGAAAGTGGTCTTTCCTTTCCTGTCAATGCAACATGAACACAGTGGGTGCACAGTAGCTATACTGGTTAAGGCCTACACCTAACTGCCTGCCCACCTGCTACCTAGCATGTAGCAATTCTACTTCTCTTCCTGCTGAAACAAGTGAGGAAGTGAAAAGGGACATTATTTGACTCATTTGATCAAATTTGAAGTGACCAAATAAAATTAGATCTCCTCGCTCCAATTTAGAGTGATCAAATCAAAGAAATGAGAGCAAATAGGAGTAAAATATGCCAGACAGGTAAAGTTCTGAATTCTTAAAAATCATTTTGGCTAAGAGAAATAAATATAGCAGAAATAACCTTTTTTTACTAGAAACCTATAAACTACAGCATTCCACACTCTGTAGAAACTCAGGTCTGACTCTCATAGTCATTAACCTGGGCAAAGTATGGTCAATGTTTCTTTAATTTCTTCTAAAGTCTACTTAAGGTATTATTTATCTTTGCTAAGTTTGTAAGGAAGCAGTGTGGGAAGCTTCTTTCAGAATATAATTAGACAATCTTAAGTAATCTCTGGACCTGAGTCGCATACAGTTATATTCAAATGGTTTTACTAATGTTTGTGGTACATATATACACACACCTGTGCCCATTAAAAAAATTAAGGCAAATATATAATATATAAACACACACTTCATACATATGTATAAAGAAGGAAATCTAATAATATTTACCACAAACATATGCAAATGAAAAACATAAGACTGAATCAACTATAAACGGGTGGACTTCCACTTAACGTGGTTTTGTGACTTTATGATTGATACAAAGGCAATATCTCTGAGCAAAAGAGAAATAAAGTACCTACAAAAATTTCAAGTATTTTATCCCAAAGTTTGTATGTTCAAACATGTTCTGGAAAAACAAAAGTGAGCTCAAAATCAAATCAAGTGATAATTAAGTCCATACCTAACAGCCCAGTGTCTATATCATCTTCATTTTTCGAATTTTCAGCATGCAACTCTGTAAATACAAAGAAGGACTTAGGTAGAAAAGATTATTTTTATAATTTGAAGAGTAACTCAAAGGCTGGGAAGAAATTGTAGAGCTGTGGAAAGGGCTCTGGAGTCAGAAGGAACTCAGCTCAAATTCTAATTCAATTTACTAGCTATGTGGCCTTCAGCAAGCAAGTAAGACCTCTCTACAGGTGTCAACAGCCATATAGTGTATATGAGAGTCATGTTTATTCTCTAGGGCTGTTGTAAAGACATTTTATGTAATGCAAATTAAAAGGAATACTAGGTTTTGAGTTCATTTCCTTTCTCCATTCTCCAAAATAAGCACAGTTCAATATATTCTGCAACAGACTTCACTTTTCATGGTTTTGAGACTTTATGATACAAAGGCAATATCTCACAGCAAAAAGAGAAATAAACTATCTACAAAATAAAATTATCAGGGATGCAGTGAAAAGAAGGGGGAGAGAATTGATAAAGAAGTGAAACATTGGCAGCAAAACATTTAAGATTGGCAGTTTACACCCAAAACCACTTTATTAAGAGGTAAAATTCACATATTAACTTGCCCATCTGTCTTCTGTATGGAAAGCAATCATGGTAAGGTGTTAGATGCAGTCTGCAGCCCACCAGGGGCTGGGAAGCAACGAGAAAAAAATTAAAACTGGAGTTAAATAAATTTAATTTCAATTCAGTGAAGTGAATACTTGAGGGATAATGTGTTGGGTCTCTTCATACAACTAAGTTTTTTTTTTTTGGTTTTAATTCTTCATTTTCAATAACCTGGCCAAGGTCACACACTAGTGGGAACTGAGATTTAAACTCAAGTCTGATTCTTTCCACTGTAATATACAATAGCCCACCACAGAATACATCCATGAGTCTTGGAAAAAGATTTCAACTGGCCAATATTTCAACTTCAGACACAGAAAAATAAAACCACTAGAGGAAGCACAGCCTATACTTTCTACAATAGAACTTTGTGCACTACACTTGGCTACAAACTTAAAACTAAGAGGAGCTAATTATTTCACCTACAAACCCAGAAATTTGGGCTATGGGATGGAAATCCTTATCCTTCAGAACTTCTGGGTGTATAGAGACATCAGTGGCTAATACATCTTTAACTGTGGATCAAAGCCTCTGAACATGTGTATATATAGCCTATTTTATTTAAATACACTTTTCACTGTCTCCTGCTAATGGTGGGTGTTCTGCATTTTGTTTAATCGTGCCAATACTTTACTCCCGTGTTCATGGATTTGAAGATTTTTCTTCAAAAGTACCCGTTTATTTAAAAGATTCTTTCTTAAAATGGATCTCTTGATCATGGATCAGGACCCTTTCACCTAAGAGAAGAGAAGACAAAGAAGGGAAAGCAAAGAAAGGTGCAGAGGAGGCTCTGGGTGAAAGTGACTGCCAGCTTGCCGGTTTGGGGCAGGGCATGGGAAAGGGAGGGTGATGCCACGTCCTGACTCAACTTTACTCTGGACTCTCAAGGTCTCGGCTTCAGTACCTTTAACGATCAGATAGGCGATGGCGAGGAGGAAGGCCAGTAGGATGGCGAAGAGCAGCGAACAAAGAATAGAGAGGACCTGGACCGGCCACCGCCGAGACTGGGCTCGGACGCCCGTAGCGGCCGGGAAGATGCCATTGCGCTTATCCGGCAGGACCGGCGACTCAGACCCATCCGAAAGGAGTAGCGAGCGGCTTCTGGGCTCTGAAGAGGCCCCAGCCGAGAACTCCGCCCGCAGGTCGCGGGCCACTGGGTCGCATCCCTCCTCCTCGTCGACCTCGCCTTCACCCCAACTGTCCCCCTGAGCGAAGGCGATATACGCAGGCCGAGCGAAAGGCGCCGGGGTGTCGAGGCGGCGGCGCCGCGGAGCCAAGCGCCTCCCGCTCTCCACGAACGACATGGCGGGAAAACGCGGAGCGGCCCGCGGAGTCCGAGCGTCTCCGACCTGCCCCGCCCCGCGCCTGCAACAGCAAATCAGCGGCCGGCCGTCGCCGTGGCCTCCACCACCGGGCCCCGGCACTCAGGGGTGGGCGACGGCAGGTGGCAGGGCCGAACGGGAGCCGAGAGACCCCGGGGGAGGCTGGATGTCCCCGGACCAGAGCCGGATCCCAGGACCGTAGGCGGAAGAGAGAGCAGGAAACACACAGGGAGAAGTGGGCCGAGGCCGAAGGCAGCCGAGTCTCCTCCCCCGCAGCGCTTGGTCCCGGCCGGAGACCTCAGCCAACGCCGCGTCACCTCCAGGCTAGCGCGCGCCTCGGCAGCCCCCAAAGCCACATCTTCTTGACGCTGATGGGTCCTAGTGCCCGCCCATGTTCTTCCGATACACACTTCCAAACCTATTTGCTTCCTCCGCTCTACGCTCGCACTCTTCCACGGCTAACCCTATTAACGGCAGTTTACCGCCTGGCGCTCTCGCTTTAACTGTCTATCCATTTCTCCCTTTAGCGTGGTTTTTCCCCGCCACTACCACAACTTCCCTCCAAGCTGCTCGGCACGCCTCCTCGCCCCTCCGCCCCGGCGCGCGCTCTCCACCTGGTGCGTACGGAGCTCGAGCCCTCTACTCAGAACCCTCCTCTCGCCTTCCCCGCCCCCGCCCCTCCGCCGCGAGCACCGCGCGCGCGGCCATCCACCCCTGCCACCGCTAACGCTAGAAGCTGCTTACTCCACCTCCACCCCACCCTACCCCACCCCTGGCGGCCTCAGGTTTGTGGGGCATACGTAACTCGGGCGGGGGGGTGAAGGTGGCAGGCGCCCCACTGCCCCACCCCCTACGGGGTGAGGCGGTCTAAGCTCGGGAAGCTGGGACACGGTTGTCTCCCTTTTCCCTTGGGGAAGTTGGTGGAGTTTTCCCCGCTGAGTTCTCGGCGCAGAAACTTCCCTCGTCCCCCTCCCCCCCATGCAGGCGACGCCGAGTGAGGCTGAGGCTGGGGGCGAATCACCACAGAGCTGCGTGTCAGCGGCGCACTCTGATTGGACAGCAGGGAAGCCTGTCAGCTTATTGGCCCCGCTGATTCCGCCTCGTAGCGCCGGGCAGCCTTTAACCTTTAGCCCTAGCGGGCGCCAACCACTCAGATCGCTTCTTGTTGGTATGTGTAGCGGCAGTGGCCGCCGGCGGAGCAGTCTGAGCCCGACGATGAGGCCGGGGACAGGAGCCGAGCGCGGAGGCCTCATGGTGAGTGAAATGGAGAGCCATCCTCCCTCGCAGGGCCCTGGGGACGGGGAGCGGAGATTGTCCGGCTCAAGCCTCTGCTCCAGCTCTTGGGTCTCTTCTGACGGCTTCCTGAGGAGACGGCCCTCGGTAAGGGATCGGTGGGCCAGGGGGAAAGCGGCACAATGAAAAACGGAGTCAGAGAGACAGGAAGCTTTCTCCAAAAGGAGAAGAAGATAAGAGTGGACGAAGGAAGAACTGGAGATGGTGGAATATGTTGTGAGGGAGAGAAATGGAGGGCGAGGATACACAAAGGGAAGGATGTGGGACCCTGGAAGTTCCCAGTGGGCTTGGCCTAGACTTCGCGGTGAAGATGCTGGGCCCTGGGCGGGGTAAGCGATCTGAAGCCGTAGGCCGGATTTAGCAGGGACGAGGAGGCAGAGACTTAATTTCTGTAAGACTTTAAAAGTGGCTGCCAAAATTTGTTTTCACTAATGGTGGTGGTCTGCAGGGGAATTAGCAGGAAATAATTACCTGGCTTTAAAACCTGAACAATGGACACTTAGGTAAAGAAAGTAGTTGTCTTTTCAAAGCGCATTAAAATGGATGGATTAGTTGTTTGCATTTGGTGTCTAGGAATGACAGAACCTCAGTCTTTGAAAATGTGTTTTTGGCAGAAGGAATTTGCCTGTCTTAAAGGTTAAGTTAGAAAATGGTAAGTTTGTTAGGAGTGAAGCATCCCTGGGAACCATAGTGTTTATGTATTATAAGGCCAGCCCTCATCTGAGTTAATTTGGTAAATCCAGCATTTGAACGTTTCAAATCAGGAGCATTATAAAATAACAATAGCTGGTTATCTTTTTCTGTGGGAAGTAGTACAAATTTGTGGTTTTCATCATAACAGTTTTTAAATTAGCATTCGACACGTATCTTCAAAGCTTAGCAAGCCAATTAGTGTCGGATTAAATCTGCTTTTTTTAAAAAAGAAAAGAATAAATTTATCCGGCTGTCCAGTAATGATCTTACTTTTTCCATTTTGTTATGGAAATTGCAAGCTCATTTTAAATAATAGTATGGTGCATTTTGCTTAAAACAAGAAGGTATAAACTATAGGTATAAACAATGTGTGATTACACATTGGCCTAGTATTATGCTATTGCAGATAACTGATTTGTTAAAATGAGATTTTTGGGAAGCGTTTGGTGTTACTTGCTAACTTTTAAATTTCCACTATTTTTCAGATGGGGCACCCTGGCATGCATTATGCCCCAATGGGAATGCATCCTATGGGTCAGAGAGCGAATATGCCTCCTGTACCTCATGGAATGATGCCACAAATGATGCCCCCTATGGGAGGGCCACCAATGGGACAAGTAAGAATGTTTTTGTTTTATTTTGCATTTATTTGTCCATTTTTGCCTCAAGTATTGTGTCAAGATTTCAAAATCTAGGTCAATACTTGTAGCTGCTTAAGGATTAGTTTATGCCCAAATAATTTCAAATAAGCCAAATGTTGAATGGTGATTGTAACCAAATTTTGAGTGTAATGAAAAGGTCTTCTGTTTCAAAAATATACTGACTACCTCAACAAAACTAGTTTTCTTTTTTTTATATAATTTAAAAGTAACAATGTATGTCTAGGCTTTTTAATTTAACCAGTATTTTTTCAAGCATGTCAACTGACATTAATGTCCTAAGAATAAATATTATCTGATATGGCAACATAACTTATTTTGGTGGACCAAGCAAATACATAGAATCTGAAAATAGCAATTGTTTAGGCCTTTGGCTTAGGATGAATTTTATAGCTGAACTATCTTCCTCTTTGTTTGTAGGGGTAGGGGTGGGGAGTTCCTGCTGTATAATTCTGCTTCTTCATAGGACAGTGCCAGATAGTTCATTTTCTACTTAAACGCTATTATTTTTTTTTAAGTGCGTATTGCTTCTGCACTCCTGCTTATGAGCTGCCCCTTCCGTCTCTAGCATAAATTGTAAATGGACATTTTGTAGGAGAGATTTGAAACAAAAAGTTTTAATGCTGACTCAGTGATTTTGGTAGAACTGAGTTTTTTAGAGCAGTATCCAAGAAAGGTAACAGATTTAGTTATCATGAATAATTCTGTGCCCTATGTTAGGTTCTATAATAAACAGATCCTTAGATGGCTGGGTTATTTCCATTTGAGTATCTCTATAAATCATTAAAAATATAGGCTAACAAAATATTTTGGAAAGCCAATTTCATATTATCTTTTGCTAATTCATACTGTTTGGTAATCGTTTAAGCTTTGATAGATTAGAGTTATTGTTGAAATTGCAGTGGAAAAAGGAGCTTGCTGTGTGTCTCTCTCATTTTACTTAACCTTAAGAGTAGAAGGGCTTAATGTCAAGTAGTTTTTTTTTCTTTTTTTATTTGGAATATAGCCCTTAATTTTGCATAAAAACCTTTATTCAAAGGCACCGGGCCCAAAAAGATGCTGCCTGCAGGAGTTCTTTAAATAAAAGAGTCTTTTATTCTGTTACTCTAGAATAACACAAATTTTAAAACTCTCTAGGTGATGGAGAAACAACTCTGATTCCTCTTCTGTTTCTTTCCATCTCTAAGCAGCAAGGAGCTCTTCTTGTTTTCTTGGTAGAGCTTCTCTAACTAGATAATGAGCTTTAAAAATATTTATTCTTTAAATGCTCTGGTTCTTATTTAAAATTAGTTTCTTTCCACAGAAAGATAAAATAAAACAATTTGCTACTGCCAGATGCTTCTCTCTTTTCTGGGGCCTTCTGTTTCCATTGGGCCAATCAAGGTAAGTTTTGCAAGGGATTGACCTGCCTACCCTTGCTGTAATGGTGCTATTGCAGTACCGAAACCAAGATACCAGCTTGTCATTTCTAGGGAAAAAAATGCAGATTTTATTTTTTTAAAAGTACTTTTATGTATCTCATTGACATAAGCTGGTCACAGTTTGCTTTATGGCCCTTTCTCTTTAGCTATATTGGTGACCATCTTCCTAGTAAGTTTACATGCTACTTAGTGCACATGCATTCAAATACTCTTAAGTTTTGCCTTGTGGTTTTTCTTCTACCTTTTTCCTAGGCCAATAATATGCCATATGCCTTTAAGATGTTTAGAAATCTTTCTTCCTCTGGTGGCTCCTGTTCTAATAATGAATGTTTTTAGTAAGAGTCCAACTCTGAGGGTCCCAAGAGAATCTTTACTGTTTTTCTCAAAATTAGATCATTCTTTTTTTTCCCCTTAATAGCTAACAAATACGGAGTCCAAATCTTGATAAAGCTAATTCTTATTTTAGCTTTATAACAGACTGGGAGAACATAGATAATTTGAATCTTCAGATAATTTAGGAATTATTTTATAGCTCTGTCTGTAAGCATTCCCTTAAAAATAAAAGTTGATAATAAATAGCAAAATTGATCCTTTTTCTGCATCATTTCTTCTGCCACCATTTAAAAGTACTAATGAGCTGTAAGTGGTCAGAAGATAATTGAGAAGGGTGCCTGTATCATTTACAAAGGTGACAGTTTGTAGGGTTCTGCCATCCAGTTTTAAAAGTCAGTTGACAGATTCTTTAGACTTTGGGACTGAGGGTTACAGAACTTATATTTATTGACTAGTTTGCATGAAAATCTCATACTGGGACCAGTTGAAGACTAAAATTGGTGGCAGTCTTACTTGCTAAATGATTGTGGTCTTTGGAATGTTACGGAATATGAAATGAAATATTAAAATTTGTTTATAAAATGTTATGCAGATTGGACACCATAATGATCTAAGGAAGCTGGGCTTGTAATTTTTCAAATGCAACAAGTAAAGAAGTGTGGATTAAATTTTTTTTTTTTAATTCATGAGATGACCTGTCATTTTCACAGTATTGGCTGAATCCTTTAGTTGTAATAAATATTTAGAAAGTATCTAATGGAGCTTAATAATATTTCTTTCTGGGTCATCTATCGTATAGGTAAAATTTGCCTCTTTCTTACTCTGCATAACTTTATGGGAAAGTCATGCTTCTACTTTTAGAGTTACAGGATCTTATAGCTGGAAGGGACCTTACAAGTTGTTTAAACTTTAAAAGATACGTGATTTAAGACTTTTGGAGGGATAACTGGTTTAAAAACTATGTTAATAAAGCAAAATAAAGAATTTTTCCTGCTTGATTACAATGCTCAAAAAATTTTCTGTAGAGATTTGCATCAAAATATAGCTTTGTGTGAGGCTATCTTCCACCATATTTATAGCGAGTGTTTTGCCTTTACAATGTTTTTGTGTCTTATTCTTTTATTGTTTTTTTTTTTTACACAAAGGACATGCAGGTCCTGCCATCTTTATCACAGATGATTTTGCCTTTACCCAAGAGAGTCCTACTAGTAGGCTCTCTTTTTCTCCCTTTTTGGAGTCTTAATTTTCTTATTCTTTTGATGAGAAGAGTAGAGAAAGAGTCTTAAGGTCCTTTTCAGCTCCAACAGCCTGTTTGGTGGGAAGAGTAGATAATAGGAAATTTTATGGGTTGATGTGAAAAGAATAGGAAATTCTTTTGGCAGTGCCTCCCTAATTCTGTTAATTCAAGTTTTTTGGTTTTTTTTTTTTATCTTTGGTTAATAAACTGATAAATGAGTAATTTGCTTTTTACAGATGAGTTTGATTTTCTTGTTCTTATGTTGAGTAAGGCAGGCTCTAACAGATCTTATTTTATTTCTGTTTCTGCTGCCATCTGAGCCTAAGTCGTCATACTCCCATGCCTAGATACTGATCAATTTTTGCATTGGTTTTCTTTGCTTCAAGACTGACCCCTCAGTAATTCTCGGTTTCAGTATATCTCCTTGTCCAACAATCTCCAATGTTTTTCTGTGGCTGTAGAATAGTATCTAAATTCTATAGCTTAATTTTGAAGAATCTCCCATAGTACATGTCAAAGCACAATTCAAAGCTGCATGTCTTCACACTCCCTAATTTGAACCAGGCTGGTCTTTTCATAGTATCTTCAGTGATTATGTTAGTTTGTGACTTCAAGCTTACGCTGTTCTTCTTGCCCTCCTGCCCCCAGTTCACTATCACCATATACTTTCTTTTGCTTACCTAAGTTCTACCACTTCAAGTCCTGCCTTCTCTTAAGAGTTTCTCAGAAAAAACTTTGGCCAATTTATATCTCCCCTTCAAATTATTCAAGAAAATCCTATGTAATCTGCCCATAACTTACTGTTTTGACTTACTGGCATTTAGTTATTGACTTACTTTGTCTTATGATTTTTTGATTTGTGTTCATTTCCCAAAAAGTAATAGGTTGTAGACTCTTAGTGGGCAGGGGTTATGTTCTGTCTTTTTAAGAAGCCTATAGGTGCTGAGCAGAGTTCTTGGCACATCATAGGTGCTCAGTAAAATACTTGTTGAATGAATGAAACAAATACATGCATTCTTTTCTGCAGCCAGGAAATCAGTAATTGTTACATGTGACTGTTTGCAGTGGTTACTTGTGACTCTACTTTGTTACCACACGTTGTTTTTAATGTCTGCCTCTTTACTGTTGTTTTTTCATTTGGAAAATAAAATGGAAGGTAAAATAAAAAATTTCTGTTTGGTGAATAAAACTAAAATATTTAGTTCCATTTACAGTTAGCTCTCTATATCCACAGATTCAACCAACTGCAAATGGAAAATACTTAAAAATCCAATGCAACAATTAAAAAAAAAAACAAATTAAAAAGTAGAATATAACAACTATTGATATAGCATTTATATTGTATTAGGTGTTATAAGCACTCTAGAGATGATTTAAAGTATATGAGAGGATGTGCATAGTTAATATCTTTGTAATATATTTATGTGAGGGACTTGAGCATCCTCAGATTTAGGTATTGAGTGGGATCCTGGAACCAATCACTGCCAGGATACCAAGGGATGACTGTATTTTAAATTACAGGCAAATGTATTTCTGCTTTTTTGATAGAAATAGTGACATCATTGATGCTCATCTTTTTAAGACGTTTTACCACAGATTTTTTCATGCCCTAGGGGAAGATAATTTAGAATATAGGCCTTCCAGAGAAATCTAATGTATCTGACTGATTTGACAAAACTATTTCTTGCTTTTGGCTTTGAATTACCTTTTGGAATATCTACAGAATCCATGTCATCAAATTGGACATTAGCCAGTGACCAAAAGAGCCATAAATTTTTTTAGGTTATCCACTCATAATTCTTGAATCTGAGTAATTTCTGTGTGCATGTGTATTACTCAGGCAAGTGCTTTTTAAAAAGTACATTAGCATAGACCTAATGTATTAACTTTTAGACTGAATCTGGTTAGATTTTACTAGTGAGACTACAGATGTGTTTCTCTTCATTATCTTTAGTAGAAGTTCATTT